CTTGTTGCGCGCGGCCAGCGGCTTGCGGAGCTGCCGCATGCCCAGGGTCAGCAGCTTTGCGATGGGGAACGCGCCGGCCACCATCCTCCTGCGCTCCCGGCGGCCCCGCGCCGCGCACCTCTGACGTCAACTCGCCGCCCTTCGCCCCGCCCCTTCGGCGTTGCGCGCGCTTGTGCGCATGCGCATTTCGGCTGACTCGTGCTGCTTTTGTGTGCGCGCGCATGCGCACGTGCCTGTGCCTTTTCGTGTTCGTGGTGGGTAGCGCCACATCGGCTCTTCGCGGTCATGCAGCTACGAATTATGAATATACAGCGACGACTGATCACGGGCAGTGGTAATGGGTCAGAGGTCGGGGGCGGGGTCCCGTGCCGGCGGGGGGAAGCGGTCTGCGCGGTGATTGGCCGCCTGCGTGTGCGGTCTGCGCTGATTGGTCCGAGTGCGGTACGCAGTCGCAGTGCCAGGCCGGGCGGAAGCAGTGGGGGGGGGCTGCGTCCGGCCCGGCCCGTGCCGGGGTGGGCAGTGCTGGGGCCCCGGGATGTGCTGCTCGCTGCTCGGCGTTGCGTGGAGGACGGCAGCGCCCGCCCGGCGAAAGCCGGTCCAGGTCCACTCCCTTGCCCCGCCCGGGCCAGAGAGGAGGTGGGGGCCGGTGCCGGCCAGTGCTGCTGGGCGGGGGGGCTGGCTGGGGGCCGTGGGCACGGCCTCGTGCTCACCAGGCCGGTTGTCGGTCTGCAGGACCAAATAGGGGTCTCCGGTGTGTCAGGGGGAGGCGGCGCTACACACGCGTCTCGGGCGCTGCTCCGAGGGGGGATGCCGGTGTCCGAGTCCTGGTGCCCGGCGGGGCGGGAGAGCTGAGGAGCCGGTGCTGCAGGGACTCTGCTCCCGTGCGCCCGCGCCCGGTGCGGCCTGGCCCCACCCGGCCTCGTTCCCCAGCGGGGCAGCGGGGGGCCATTGGGACCCGGTACCAGGGGCTGCAGGTTGGGGGGTTTTGGTAGTGTTGTGTGGAAACGGGCCTGTGAGCAGCGACGTGGAGCTGTGGTGGCACGCGGAGGTTTGCGTGTGGGGAAACTCACTATCTTGTGTGGTGATGTTTCTGGCAGTGTGGCACCTCTTTTGTGAGAACCAGATAATTTTGTGTGATGATCTGGAGGTGTTTTTGTGGAAATGTTTTGGGAAATATGGTGACATAGAATCATAGAACCAGAAGGGACCTGTAAGATGATCAAGTCTGGCCCCCTGCCACGGGCAGGAAGTTATTGGGCTCAGGTGAGCTCAACAAGGTGCCTGTCCAGCCTCAGCTTGAACACCTCTAAGGGGACGACTGCACTAGCTCCGCTGGGAGCGTGTTCCAGATTTTGGTGACCCTTACAGAGAAGAAGTTTTGTCTTATGTCCAGCCTAAATTTACCCTCTGTTAGCTTGTGCCCATTGGTCCTTGTCCTCCCTTCCTGAGGTGCCTTCCTGGAGAGTTGCGCCCCTACATCTTGGTGCTCACCCCTGACGTATTTGTTAGGCGGCTATCAAGTCACCTCTCAGCCTTCTCTTCCTCAGACTGAACAGACCCAGTTCTCAGAGTCTCTTTTCATGGGGCCTATCCTCTAGGCCTGTGATCATATGGGTAGCCCTTCTTTGTACCCTCTCAAGCTTACCCATATCCTTCCTGAAGAGTGGTGCCCAGAACTGGATGCAGTACTCCAGCTGAGGCCTCACCAATGCCGAATAGAGCGGGAGGAGCACTTCCATGGATCTATTGGCCACGTATCGGCTGATGCACACCAGAGCTCTGTTTGCCCTGCTGGCGACTTCATCGCACTATTGGCTCATGTTCATCTTCCAGTTGATCATGACCCCCAGGTCCTGTTCAGATGCTGTGCCAGCCAGTGGGCTGCCACCCATTGTGTAGTTATGGTGAAGGTTCTTCCTACCCAGATGAAGGACCCTATGCTTCTCCCTGTTAAACCTCATCTGATTCTGTTCTGCCCATAAAACCAGTCTGTCAAGGTTATCTTGGATCTACCCTATCTTCTGATGTGCCTGTGTTTCTCCACAGTTCAGTATCATCCGCTAACTTAATAATTAAGCTTTCCACCCCTTCATCCAAGTCATTGATAAAGATATTAAAGAGCAAGGGTCTAAGCGCCCATCCCTGTGGGACACCACTGGAGGTGGCCCTCCAAGATGAGGCCATCCCATCAATTACAACTCTCTGGGATCAGCCAGTTATCCGCCCACTTCACTGTAGACTGGTCCAGGCCAGCACCCTCCATTTGTATGAGAGAATCTCATGGGAAACTGAATCAAAGGCTTTATTGAAGTCTAAGTAAATGACATCAATCTCGTGTCCCTTGTCTAGATAGCTAGTTACCTGGTTGTAAGGCACTTGGTTTGTCAGGCATTATCTACCCTCAGCAAAGCCATGCTGGCTGCTTCTTAACACCCCGTCAGTTACCAGCTTGTAGTTGATGGCCACCTTAATAAGTTTTTCAAAGATTTTACCCAGGACTGAGGTCAGACTGATGGGTCTGTAGTTTGCAGGGTCATCTCTCTTCTTTTTCGTAAAGATGGGTACCAGGTTGGCCCTCTCCCAGTTGTCTGGGACCACTCCTGTGTTCCACAACTCTTCAAACAACTTGGCCAGTGGTGCTGTTATAAGCTCAGCGAGTTCTTTCAGGACTCCCGGGTACAGGTCATCAGGGCCAGCAGACTTGAAAATGTCCAGGTGTTGTAGGCGATCCTGCACCTGTTCAGGACTGTTTTAATGTAATCTGTTGTCTTCCCCATGTTCCCTGGGCCTTGGGAGAGTTCTGTGTGGATTTGGGAACTTTTTTCTAGAAATGTGTGAAATGTGATTTTTGTTTGTTTGTTTTTGTGGAAAACTCGTAATTGTGTGTGGTGCTACAGGACCTTCTTTGGCAATATTGTGATTTGGTGTGGAAAACTGGTGATTTGGGAACTTCTTGTGGAAATGTGTGTGGTAATTTTAGGGTGATTTAGGATCACTTTGTGTGACTGGTGTGTTGTGGGGCCTATGGAAAATTGTGTGGCAATTGGGTAAATGTATGGAAATATGGTTATGTTGTGTGAGGGAAATTGTGTGGTAATTTGGAAGCCCTTTTTGTAGGAATGTGTATTGAACTCTGATGATACTTGTGTGGTGATTTCAGAACTTTTTGTGTGCTGAGCCCGTGGGGATCATCTTATCTACTCTGGTGTGGTTAACACTGAAACTGTCTAATGTGGGTCTGCCCTTTTTCGCAGGCTACTCTTTGCGCACCTGTCCTTGGAACCAGCGTGTCAGCGAGGAGGTGCAGCCTGACAGAATCGGGACTTGGGGCAGAAGGGCCCCCAGGAGCTGTTGTGTCTGCAAGGGTCACTCTGGGCACTTAGACAGGTGTGCGGGACCTGCAGTGGTCCCTTGGAAACAGCCAAGGTGCCACAGGCAACAGGTGAGTATGTGTTTTTGCCTTTGACACACTCTGGACTCTCACTGGCCAGAGCGAATCTGCCAGAACCTACATGTGCAACCCCGACCTTGGCCTGTTCCAGACCCACGCCGAGCAGTGGCAGCGGCTAAGCAGAAGCTGCTGCTTGGGGCAGGGGAAAAGTGGCTCCTCCAGCTCACTGGGGCCATGCCCTTTTTGTTAGAGGTGTTTGAAGTCTGTGCCCAGGTTGGCCTGCAGCTCCTCTCCATCACCATCAATGCCATGTTTGGGCTGGTCAGTGGGGCAGCGGTGGCAGTGCAGAGGAGCCACAGAGCAGCCTGGGCTCTAAGCAGCTGCAGGAAGAAGGGTCTGGCACCCGCGATGCAGGGGGCACTGCTTTTCCCTTGCAGCAAGCTGCAGCTTCTTGGCCATGGTTGCCGCTGCCATTGCTTGCTCTGTGTGGGTGGGCAAGTTCAAAGGAGGGTTGGGCTGTGTGCATGGGTTCCGGCTGGTTAGGAGCTGGTCCGCTTCGCTGGGCCAAGTCCAGAGCATGTGCAGAGCCATAAGGGCCTCATTTGACTGCTAAGTATAACCATTTCAGATAAAAATTCCCAGATATTGCTTCTGAGAGTATAAATGGGGGAGGAATATGTACCTTTTTTTCTTTTTAAACCTTTTAGCTACTAGCAGTAAATTTTAAACCAGGATTTCCTTGGCTGATCTCAGCATATCCAGTGCCACATTTGCGGCCCTTGCTGCTCAGAATTGGAATCACTTGGAGTTTAGATGATGACCTTCTTTTACACAGTTTCAGCTGTGTGCAATGGAACCCTTACATAGAGCGTTTTTTAACTTGGTGATGCACGTTATCAAGAACCAGGTACTGTTCAGTCTTTTGAGAGACAAGACTACAGCTCTTTTATGATCAGGACTTTTTTGTAAGATTAGAGACAGAATTCTGGGAAAGTTGCATTTCCTGTACTGATTACCAGGGATCCTGGTTTTGTCTGAAAAAGAAAAAAAAAATCACAAATTCTCTGATTAAAAACCCCAACATCTGCGTTTTTCTGTGATTAAAATGAAACGCCACTGTGTTGTTTTACTGATAAATTTACTATTTTAAAGCCATTTGGAATTCTACCAGTGCCTCAGTCACTTTTAATAAAATAGATTCTAAACACCTATTCATTTTGGCATTTGATTTTGGGTTTTTTATCATGGAATATCAGAGCTCCCCCTGCCTCCTTTGCTTGCCAGGATGCAGGTCCAGCTGCAGCAGTTTGTGGTGCTGAGCAGCCCTGATATGCTGGTGCCCCTCACTTGCCACCCACAGCACCCCCAACTGTGGTGGCTCCTCTCCCTTCCCATCCAGCCCTGCTGGTGCCCCTCACTCCCCACCCACAGCCCTGCTGGTAACCCTCGCATCCCACCCGTAAGCCCGTAGCTTTGCTGGTGCCCCTCACTTCTCACCCACTGCCCCCAGCCTGGCAGGTGCCCCTCCCCAACCACAGTCCCTTGGCCCTGCCAGTGCCCCTTAGTCTCCACCCACAGCCCCCTGGGCCCTGCCAGGGCACCTTAATCCCCCCCACCCCCACAGCCACCTGCCCCACACCTCGGCCCTGCTGGTGGGAGCTCCCAGGGCTACTGGACCAGGGATACAAGTCCACAGCCCCTTGCCCCCCATAGCAGCACCAGAGCCTGGCTGCCAGATGTGGGAGGCAGTGGCTGCTCTGGCCCGAGTGGTGCATGGAGGCCAGCTCCCCCTGTCTCTCAGGTGGCATGGTGAGAGTGGATCCTGTTGAGAGTGGGCGGGGGGCAGAGTGTGGGCTGCCTGCTGTGGGCTCAGGCACCCTGCCCTCCCCCTGGGACATGTGCAGCCCAGTGGGCAGGACCTGGTGTGATGGGGCAGAGTTGGGCCAGGTGGGGAAGCTCAATGGCACTGCTGCAAGCCCCACACTGCCGTGGAAAGGCACCTCCTGTCTACCCAGCAGCAGCAAGGGGCACAGCTCTGTGCTGCCACCCCCACTGCTGCCTGGCGGGCAGGGGGCACCTTGCCACAGTGGTGCAGGGCTCTCAGCGGTGGCACCAAACTTCCCTGCTCTAAACTGCTCTGCTGTACTGGCTGCATTGCCCACTGGGTCACAGAGGCCTCGGGGAGAGGCCAGCAGGGTGGGAAGAGCAGGTCTGCAGTGGGCAGCCCACCCCCACCCTGCACACTGGGGGGCACATGTGCCCATCCCCCTCCAGCGTGCATGCAGTAGTGGGGAGTCAGACACCCCCTCCCCCCCCGCCCACTCCCCGTCCGGGCCCTGCAGCTGTGTATTGCAGCCCTAGGTCCCAAGTCCCACATGCACTGTCCCAGCTGGGCAGCAGCTGCAGCCCTGCCCAGCTCCCTCCCTTCCGTACTACAGGGGCCTCCATTTCCTACCCCCCCACACCTAACTTACCTGGGGGGAGCTGCTCTCCAGGCTGCAGGGCAGGCATGCTCATGTGTACCAGCTCATATGCATGTGGCTTCCCTTCCTGACCACCTTTCTCCCACTCCTCATGGTGCTTTGCAGTGTGGAACTCTGCCAGCCTGCAAGAGGAAACCCGCCATTTTGTGTTTGTCTCCTTTAAAGGAGAAAATCTCGGTTTTTCTTATGAAAATCTGTTGGGTTTTTTTCCTCAAAATGAACAACTCTGGGTTTTACTGTATTTCTCCATGGCAAATGGAAAACCTGGGTCCCTGTTGATTACCCTTTTAATACATGAAATGAAGACACAATGAGGTTTCCTAGTGGTGCTCCAGTCCCACTTAGCAGGTAAGGGATTACTACCTCCAAATCGGATAAAGAGGGGGAGGGTAGTAATTTTATTGATTACACCTCAAGGCATAAGAACAGACATTTATCTCTATGCCTGCCTAGCAACTTGCCACAGCACGCTACAGATTCTCATCTCATCCAGCTGGGGGAGATGCAGGAGGGAGGAGGCGATTAATAGCAGGTTGTCTCCACATTGCAAAAATCTTTGTAAAGTTTATCTCTGTTTACACCTCATATTTATATGTGGGTTTTTAAAATCGATATTCTGATAGGTGTCATGCAGATGTGTTTCACTGAAGTTTTGGGAATGAGACTGAACCTGTTTTTCTGTGGACTTGGGAGATGCCAATTAGCTGGGGCCTGTGTCCTGGGGAAAAATACAATTCTGCAAGGGAGGAGCACTGCTCATCGCTGTCCCTGCGTGCCTGGCAATGCTCCTTGCCCTGTTGTGTATTTTACTCTGCTGTTTAGACCCACTTTAATTTTCAGCAGAGTCACAAAACCAAATGTCAGTTGCTGCTCCTAGCCACTGTTTCCCGCTGTTCCCATAAGCAGTTACTTGTTCTTGGTCTTGTCTAGTATTAAAGGCTTGGGAAACAGGTTCTTATTCCACTTTCTCAGGTTCTTGCTTGTGATGTAAATGCGAAGTTATTGCTTGTTGATTGTACAGCAGCTTAATCACATGTCATAAGTCAGGCTTCTGGTTGGTCCATAGTCTGCAATAGTCAGTGCGGTCTGTCAGGTACTGACCATGTCTTCAGCCTACACGGAGGAATCTTCCTGCAACTCTCCTCCCCCTTTCCCATCATCACCTTCTCTTTACCTGTTGTTGATTTAAGCAGCTCTTCTGTCCCAGTGCTCCTGTTCCCTGGTGCTTCCACAGGGTACCCATCCTGTCTTCTGTATTTGCTGGAGGACTGGTATAAGGGGATGCATGGAGGCCCCACCCCAGAAGTCCTGTGTGGTCATGGGTTTACAATGAGCATTTCCAGCTGTGTGCTGCCATTCATGGGGTGTGCCATGTGTGAGCCGTAGCTGTCAGAGGAATGCTTTGGAGGGGGTCATCTCACTCACAGAAGCAGCAAAATTGTTCTTCTTCCCCTTACTCAACTTTAGAGGGTGACGTCTGTGTGACATCATACCCCCTGCACAAACCCAAGCAGGGGCACTTGTGTGGTAGGAGTGCTAAGACACAGTTGACAGACCAGAGTTTGCAAGTTCAAGGCTGTAGCAGAAGCACTCAGTGTGGCCTGTCAGATTCCAACTAAATCTGTGAACTCTTGTATGTACCTTGTCACAAGGACACGAAAAAGAGAAGGACATGAGCAGGGGCCCACATTAGAGTCTTATCGTATTGGTTAGTGATCAGGAGGCGGGGAGGCATTCTTGGCTGCTTGGCCAACTGCCTGGGGGAAGAGGTAGGAGGGAGAGTAAGTTCCCTACCCTGCCAGGGGGTCAGAGGTCAAAGTTGGGTGAGGGTTCAGCAACCCTGGAATGCCCCAGTCTCCCCCTGCGTCCCAGACTGCCCAGGTCTTCCCCCTCTCTCCCCCAGGGCTGGACTGCCTGCTGCTGGCAGTGACTTTGACTGAAGCAGTTGGCAGGCACTTGTGTGCAGCCTGCACTGCTTGGAAGATGTGGGCTGTGACATCCTGCTTTTTTGGACTGCGGCAAGAAAGCAAAAAGCCTTGTAGTATAGGCTTCAGTTCTGGGGCTGCACCTTGTTTTTGAGAACCCCCAGGAGCTTATATACTGTTCAACATCTTCATTAATGATGTGGACACTGGAGTCAGAAGTGGACTGGCCAAGTTTGCCGATGACACCAAACTTTGGGGAAAAGCATCCACACCAGAAGACAGGCGGGTGATCCAGGCTGACCTGGACAGGCTCAGCAAGTGGGC